GTAAATTGGTTCTTTGAACAATGTATTCACCCCCAAAAAAGGGAACTTTGGGGATATCCCTCATTCTCAAACTTCCTTTCTCCCTTTCTGTTCGGCTCAGCTTGCTTTTCCTTTCCAAATTGTCTCCTGCTCGGATGTTCCTTAACCACTTCTCTGGATAAGTTGTCATCCACATTGGCATACTTTTCAATCCTGACCATTAATTCTTCCAGGTCAGTAGCAGGTCTCCTTGTGAGCGATTGGTATAGAGGGTTTTTTTTCAGCAAACCGATCTTGAAGGATGCGACTACAATCTTTGGATTGCACCCTTTGACTTCATTCATGGTTTTCCAATAGCGATGCGCATACTCTCGCAAACTTTCGTTACTCTTCTTTTTCAGTGTTAGTAAAGCCCCAACATCCTTTGGTTATTTACTGCTCGTGATGAATCGAGCTATGAATTGTTCGGCTAACTGAGACCACTCGTTAATCGTTCCTTTTGGTAAGTGTCGAATCACTTCATGACAGATTCCCCCAGACTGCTAGGGAAAATAATGTAGAGCAATGACTCGTTTCTTTAGTGGATGGTCATCAACTGTCAAAAGTGCCTGATATGTGAGGCTGGGTCGGTCTTTTCGTCATACAACTTGAAGTTCGGGACGACAAAATTGCTCGGGATTCGTGCTTTTTTTTTTTACCCAGGTAGTGAATGGGGATGACTCCAAACCGTTTCTGTACTCCCTTGTTGCTCTTCTGACTAGGTCCCTAGCCGACCTCTGTTCTGGTCTCTTCAAGCAAAGGTTGAGCTCTTCGTTGATATATTTCTTCCACGTATCCTCCTTCTAGATCTGAGGCTTCTTCTGTCAGTAATCTTTCTCATTGGAAATTTTAACTCTACTAAGCTTCCGTCCCGGACTTTCATGCCAATCTTCTCTCGCCCATTTTTCCCTTCTAGTTACCTCTTTCAACTTTGTCTTTAACTCTTCGTTTTCTCGGATCAAATCTTTCTCCCTAGCATAGGATTTCTTGAACAACTTGTCATGGACGTCAATTCGATCCTGTAGGGACTGGACTAGCTTTGCCAAGGAATGGTCCTCCCCCTCGACACAGAGGGACTTACCATGATCCTGGCTCTGTTGGTTCTGATTTTTCGAGGGCTTGAAACTCGCAGAGGATACCTCGTCATCCTCATGGATTCTAGAGGGGCTTCTGACTACATTCAACCTTGCGTTGCTGTTAGAAGGATGAGATGCAAGATCAGAATTTTCCAAGGAAAAATTGCCTACAAGTGATTCAATTGCACTTCTGAACTTGAATTGAAATAGTTATGGGATTCTGAACTTGATCTCCCAATCTTCCTCTTCCTGTAAAACCAACACGCTGCCCAAGATTGAAGTGTTTCGATATAAGGCACTCTGATACTTAAGTTAGTAAGGATAATGAAACGAATGGAAGAAGACAAGGAGGATTCAGCGTACCTTTCACCTTAGCTCCTCTTGGTTTTTATAGATCGTTATCTCCTTAGGGTTTCCATGAATTTAGGTTCAAAGTGGCACACCTTCCTTCAATTCAGTATTTCAGTTTGGGAAGCTGCTGATATTTCTCCAACAATTCCTCCTGATATTTACAATTTCATTGATTCGTTTATCTGATTGCCTAAGTTATAGGCATATCTTTATCCTTCTATTTATCTAAAATAGCTCGGACATATCAAATGCTGAGCATACTAGATTTTTGCCGAACAGATTAAGGAACTTGGTTTGGCACAAACCGATTTCCTCAATTGCCTTGCTGAATACTTTACCGGACTCGGCTTGGTACAAGTCGAGCTCTTTCATTGCTTAACGGAACAGACTGATGAGTTTGATCATAAAGAGAACCAATATATTGCCAAACATCTAATTAGCTCGACTCAGTTAGAAAGCTCTTAATAGAAGACCCTTCATCACATGGGCTGGTTTTATCAATATCACGTGAGCACATTTAATGTTGTGTCACGTGTAATCATGATGTTTAATCCCTTCACTATCTTACCCTATTGATCGGCTCTTGCAAACAATCGAGTAGGCCAATAGAATAAATTTTGGTATTCTGCAAAAATCGGATAAAAATGCGAAATACCCAAAAAATTTCCGCCTTCTTATACGATCCTACCCACACACACATATATGTGTGTGTGTGTTAATTTTTTAAAATTTTAACACTATTAATGTGTTGAGAAATCAGAAACACTATTAATGTGTTAAATTTTTAACATTATTATGTTGGTTAATTGGTGTAGGTTACTTAATTAAATTGTTAAAATTATCCAAAAATTAATAATTAAAAAATATTGTGTTCACTTGATTTCCTATCCGATTTTCTACTCGATTGTTTTTGATGAAATTAAAGTAAGAATAGTAGACTTGATTGGATAGGATAAGCCAAGAAAAATCTCCTCTGCAAAGTATCAAGTTGGAAAATAAAATACTATAATTCCTGCTCTTAGAGTTGAGTGAACACCATTACTTCCACCACCACCACCGCCATAGTCCCTGCACCACCCTTACATCAACAACCGTACTTTCATTATCACTACCACTATCACACTTCCACCACGACATCACCACATTCCTACCACCACCAACAACACCACAAACACCTCTACCATGCCACCACCACCATCACCACCATACTTCTATTTTTTTTTTGTTTTTTATGGGTTATTGCATGAACAAGTTTTAATGTTTTATATTTCATATAACTGTTTTTTAAATTATATAACCAAATAAATTTTGCGGCACAAAAAATACTGAAAATAATTTTCTAAAACTTTTTTTAAAAATAGTTTTCGAAAACTATTTTTTGAGACGTAAACTAAATAGTTGCTAAGTTCTTGAATTTTTTTTTTAGGTGTCAATTAAACACTTAAACTCTCTAATTGTGTCAATTAAACATTTTTGTCTGCCTCCGTTAGAGTGTGTTACTCACGTGACCATATGTCACAAAAAAGTCAATTGACTAAATTGACACAATTAAAGTGTTTATTAGCTTAATTGATATAAAAAAAGTTCATGGGTTTAATTGATACACGAGTCATAATTGAGGGTCATATGTGTAGTTTACTCTAACTTATTTGTACTAGGTGAGTGACATACTTTGTCACTTTTCATTAGAAAATCTTATGAAAACAAACAGAATGACTAAATTGATTCAATTATAGAGTTTAAGGATTTAATTGTCAATAAAATAAAATAAAATTTAAGAGACTTAATTAACACAAGTATCATAATTTAAAGGTTATATATATATAGTTTACTCTAAATATTTTCTTAATAGAGCATCCAATTAAATATTTTTCGACACATATAGTCTTCCCTAATTATACACATTATCCAAAACTTAAAAAATTTTGGGTACGAGAGAAAACTTAAAAAATTAAGAGCTAGAAAAACATTTTCCTCAACCAAATGAGATAACGACATATGGTGAGTTTAGGTAAGTTCTACAACACCAAAAGTAGGTTAAAGAAAGTGGTCAGCAGGGCGGAGCCATTCTTGGGCTACGGTGGACACATGCCTCCTCAATTTTTTTTTTTTGCTTCCTATTAAGTATATATTTTTTAAAATAAAAATTAAACATATTTAATTGTGTCCACGACTCTACTTCAATATTTTGTTTTAGTGATATTAATATAAATAGACTCCTACCTAAATGATTATTAATTTTTTGAACAATGTTATTGAAACATAATTTTAAGATCTAATACATTGCGATATTAAGTATAATAGTGAATTTTAATATTTAATAAACTCTTTTTTTAATAATAATAAACTTTATTATCTATCAAATGATCACAAACTATTGAGTCTACATCAATTTAATCTCAAATTGGTACAACTAATATAATTGTTACCTTTTAGATATGTCCGAATATGTTTTGAAAAAATTGATGTTATTTTATAATTTTTTTAAATTATAGAATTTTTTTGTTATTATATAAAAATGTGTGTCGTTATGTAGTAAATTATAGAATCATAAATAGAAGATTATTACCGCGATTTTATATATATAAGAAGTATTATTGATAAAATTAATTTATAACACTTTTAAGTAATAAAAATATATCAAGGTCAATTATAAGGAATAATAATTAGTCGGATTCTCAATAAGAACTTTTAATTATTATTTTTTTATTTATGAGTATATCGACTTTTAATCTTCTATGTTTAAAAAGTATTAAATATAATTTTAATAAATATAAATTTATAAACTTTTATGATTTATTTAAAAAAATTAAAATATGGTAATGTACCCGCTCAAAACAAAAAATTTCAGGCTCCACCCTGGACTAGTCAGGGATTTCCTCTATAACATATCTCATCTGATGTTTGGGATCGAGACACCCTCCACCTCTCGGCCAAATCCAAACTCTTTGACGAGTGTCCACTTCTCGGACATTGGTCGCTCGATGAAGTGTGTTACGTGCCCACCTTTGATTGGCGTGCCAAATAGTATCTATTCAAATATCTTCATTTAATCTTCTAAATAATTCTGATATTAATTTTCATTATTTAGGTACGATATTATTAGATATTAGGAATGATTTGCAAATTTTTTGCTCTTTCGACAATTTTACGATAAAAAGAACCGATAAAATAAAGTAGCTTATTAGTTAGTTAGAAATGCAATGTATGTTGAATGCTTTGATGTATGAGAGGGAATATCACCTGATTTTATAGTGCCGCACCTCGTCATGAATTTTTCCAATGTATCTAATCCATATCATTTACTGTCATTATTAAAAAAAAAACTCAATTAGGTTTTTATTTTCTAGAATTTGAAATTTGAAATTCACTTTTTTTTAGTGTAAAAGAGTTTGATTCTTTAAAAATTAAAAACAAAAATAAAAAAAGCGAAAAAGGTCGGAATGGATTGGGGCTTAAGCAATCGAACCAAAATAAATTACAATACAATAAAATAAAATCATATATTGATTGCTTTGGTGTCTCTCTCCTCTGTGTCTTCACTCTCTTGTAAGCATGGAAGAAGAATACTCGATGGATCCAGCTCAGTTGCTGGTCGGAGCTTCAGATTTCGCCTATAATCCCGGTAAACAGTTGCTCGGAGTTCTCTTTCTCTCTCTTCAAACCTTCACTATTTTTTGCCGCTTGCATTTTTTTCCCTCCATGTCTCTCTCATCACCGCCATTCCACTTTTTGTTCTTCTAATTTTAGGCTCTCATTCCGATGCTTCAGCAAAGGAGTTCCTTGATCGCTTCCCTCTTCCAGCCATCATCACGTAATCCACAAATTGTTAATTTCGGTATTTGTATATGAGACCATTAAATCCTATAGGTTTCTTGGACTAGGGTATTACGCAATTTTTTTTAATCGAGATTTGATAAAAACCGAGTGCTTTATACTCACTGTGGCTTGTATTTGGCTTTTTTCAACTGTTTTTGGATCACTTGTTTGATTTGCAGTGCATTACAAACAAAATCAGACGTGCCTGGTCTTGAAAATGCCTTGGTTGCTTGTTTAGAAAGGGTTTTCAGAACCAAATTCGGGGCCTCCCTCATCCCACTCTACATGGTATGTTCACCATCATTGACGAATTCATCAAAGTGTTGTCGCTTGTAATGCAATTATTTGTGCATTATACATAGGTGGATATAAAATAGACAATGAGCGGCTAAGGGAATTGGGTGATGATTACTGATATAATCATCTTTCGGCAGTTTTTCATGAGTTAAATATTTGGACCTTTGTTATACTAGTTAATCCACACTTGTTGCACGTGGTCTATTTCGAATTATAATTTTTCTATATTATTTTTACAATAAAATATTACTTGGTCAATTTATAGTTAAATGACCATACTGAAACTTTTAAGAATGCTAAACAAAAAAAAAAATTCTAAAAATGCAATGCTTATGTGTTCCTTGCTAGATGCAATACTATTAAGTCATGAGCAAGGAACACATAAGCTATAAGAGTATCTTCAACCATGATTCAAATTTAAATTAACATTTAAGTAAAAAATTTGATTTGATATAAAGAGCTCGAATGTTCAAACTCAAATTTATAGAAGGAGAAACTCAAATTTAAATTTAAAAGAGAGTAAAGATGACTATTGGATCTTTAAAATATGGTAAAATCTCACAATTAAATATTTGGATAAGAATTTGAGTCTCCCATAATTTGGAATAAATTTGAGTGAAAGGTTGGACAACTTTTTTGGGTTTTTTTACTCAAATTTAAATTTGAGTTAGAGTTGGAGATGCCTTAAGAATGCAATGCTTAGTCTCTAAAAGTCATTTGGGTTGTGTGGAGCGTGGAGGGAATCATAACAGTTGTCAATTTTGTTTTTCCTCTGCTATGTTCACTCGGTGATGACTTACCCATGAACTTCATAAAAATGAGGTCAGACCAATCTAAACTTCTAGAGCTTCAAAGCTCTTTTACTTTCTTTTGTTAAGGTATTACTTTGGTCAAAATAAAATCAAGATGACCACTGTCATGTGTGTTTGACATTTAGCAAATGAAATAATGACTCACATCCTTCAACTGACAAGACAATATATATATATATTAATGGCCAATTTCATATAAAATTATTTGAACCAACTATGCGAACAGACATACACAACACAAGGAATTGTGAACATCTTACAAGCATTTCAATTCCATATCTTCCTTCGCCCCATTATGCTCAGATGTATTGGATGAAAACATTCAAAAGCACAATAAAATATGCATACTTTTATGAAACATATAAAGGTTTCATCCCAACTTCCATAACTAAATTAAAACTTTTAGGCAAATTTTTCCCTCTAAATACCCACTTAAAGTAGCATAGGTTGTAGAAGCCGTTGAAATTTAGAATTAATGAGGCTGTCCTGTTTCAAAAGTGGAAAATGTATTTCTACTTTTCATTATCACAGTCAATAATTTCATTTAGAAAACAAATTTACGGCTTGGGTGTTCACAAAACTATGCACACAAGAATACCTGCTGCAACATTATTCTCCTCCATTTACTTTGTCCTTAACAGTTTATACAAATCCCAATCAAACTTTAAAGCTATAGAAACATGCAAAATATTATAATAGCAATTTGAACAACAGGGAGGTATGGCATGCACACTTGGTGTATCACTTCATCTGCAATCCAGATGCCAAAACCTGAGTTAAATCTCTGCACAACTAAACACTAATTAAAAACATGAGGGGGTCTTAAGAAGAAATAAGATAAAAATTAATGCATATCTAAATCATTGAAGAGTGCCCTTTTAATGTCTGATTATGCTCACATCAGCCAAAGCTTCCATGGTCTCAGGCCTCACAATGATGGTGAGATTGTTCACCAGATCTACACCACAATGAGAAATTGAATATAACAATAATATTGTAATAATTGATTGGCATTATTGGCAGATGCTTATGAAAAGATTACTTATAGGCCTTGGCCAATAGTTCGCCCAACCCAAGGACTAATCCTATGGTTTGACGGATGAGCCATAAATCTCCACGGAAATCAAATCTTGAAGCTCTCTGAAACAAGAAAGACAGAAACCCAACTCAGATTTGACTGCAAAAATGAAGAATACCCAAAATATTATGTGAAAAAACCTTGTCGATACCTTGGTCAATAGATCAGACTCATTGCAACTCAGTCATTGAATAACTTCAGTATAGTATCATATGTGCATATTCATAATCAGAATGTATGCAACCAATTTAAAAAGAATCAAAGATGGGTCCATTGGCGCGTGGTGAAACAGGATGTGTGTTCAAAATAGAATTCAATAAGGAAGAGAAAGCCTTAACAAATCAAATCTTCAATTTGCTTTTTCTGGAAAATAAAGGCGGCCCATATCCAGGGAGGGAGAGAGAGAGAGAGAGAGAGAGAGAGAGAGAGAGAGAGAGAGGAAATCTATTTACGGATGCAACATTATACATTTGTCTATGGGGAAAGAGAAAAAATAGGTAGAGAGAGAGAGATTCAGGTACGACTATGGAGTGATGAAGAAGTCTAGTCTTATATTGGCTATTAACCTTGCTGTCAGTCAACCTTTTCAAAGAATCTCCAAAGAAGATCATGAGATAGAAACCAGAATGGCCTCCGTTGGGTTAAACTTACTTAACACAAATTAATTTAATGTCAAAAGAAGATGATTGGTTATCAATGATATCTGTTACATTATATCTTTATTAAAGGTATTGATAATCACAAACTTACACATGCCTTTGTAGAGTAGTTCGGGGGACAATTTGAAGATTAAAAGGTTTTAGTTACATTGAGTCGTAAGCTTTATTGGCAAAAGGGATATTGGTGTCTTTAAAATATTTAATTTAATAGGGATGTTTTTAGCATTCAAAAGTTATTCATATATCTACACGTTTTAGAGTAGTATAGATAGATAGATGTATATAGATATTTGATAGGGATGTTTTTAGCATTCGAAAGTTTTTCATATATCTACACATTTTAGAGTAGTATAGATATAGATTCTTAATGGCAAGTTGAGTTTGATGAAAATAATCACTTTATGATTATTATATAATTAACTGCGAATTTTCTCCGAACACCTTGAATTTGTACTTAAGGAACATTAATGCTTCTTAAATTCACTTCCTGTTGATTTGTTTTATTGTAAGTATGTAGCACACTGACGACTTACAAGACTGCCCCTGAGGACATGAAATCACTGAATTATTGACTCATATGTCATTATAATTCTATGGCTGCTTTTCCAGTTTCAATCAAATAAATTTGCAGAGGCGAAACGAGACTGGTTCATTGTTTTTGGAAATATATTTTGCTTACTTCCTATCCTTTTGTTGTTCTTCGGCTTCCAGTCTATGCAAAATTTCCTGCATTTTGTGATTCTAATTTCTAACATCTATGATTATGATACATAATTCTGAATTTTTACATCTTCTTTTGGTTAGGATTGTTGAGCGACATCTCTTTTTTTCCAGGTCTTGTCCACCTTGATGCTGCTCTTTTGTATACCTATCTCTAATATCATTGACATTAATGTCTTTCACATTTAGCTTGTGCCTTTGTGTAGTAGTACTTGTGGGGTTACTATGAATCAGGTACTAGATTCCAACCCATCAACTAACTGTTAACAATACAAGTGTGTGTGTCTGTTACACCATAGTGTGTGTGAAATGCTTTTATATGTTGGCACTTGGGCTGGGCCCGATATGCTCTATGCGGTTACATTGTGGACCTGATATTCTCTATGCACTTTCAGAGTTTTACCTTAATCTGCAACTATAGAACTATCATGATAAAGTAACTCCTGGATTTGGTGTATATTGTTGAATAGCCATTGATTGGATTTTATACACATTTTAGCTTGCGATTCTAATCACCACTCTAGAAGTATTATTTTGAAGTTACTCTGTATATTAACATTTTGCTCGTGAAGTTATTCACGTACTTATTGAGCCCTCTTTTTGCTTTCAGCCTTTTGTTGTAGTTGGTCTTGGTGCAGAGTCTGAAGGAGTTCGATGTTTGTCTTGTAAAACAGTATGTATAATTCCAACCTATCAGGCTTCATCATTGGCTTTTCTTGAAGTTGTTGAATTTTGCACTCTTACTGTGGTCATAATTTTGGAGTTCTGCAGAATCTTGTATAAGGTTTTTTTTTTTTTTTTTTCTTTCTGTGCTATAGATTTAACACTTGGCATGTTGTATGCTTTCAAACATGTGTATGTGTGTCAGATGTAAGTTGTGTTGATAATTTGGTTAGCCTTAGTACTCTAGGCATTGGACAATTGTCATAATTGCATACATCCATTATTTCCTTTGTATCTTGGTAATGGGCCAGGTAAAGTTCTGGGGTGACTGACTCTAAATTCTAACAACTATGTTCAGGTTTTTTGCCTTTTGGAGAATCTTGATGAAGCTACTATAAGACAGCTATTTCATGGGTATGATGTGTACCCACTTTTGCTTAATTGCCTCGTTGATGGGTAAGCCTCCAAGATATTTGTTTGTAATGTATCCATTGGTATTTTCTATAATGTGATTTATCTTTTTACTAGTGGTGGCCTTTTCATCCCGATGATTTGCTTCTTTGGCAAAGAGAATGGAAACATGTGAAATGTTCTAAGGAGGTAGATGAATAGGTTAATTAAATTCCAGGACCACCCATTTTAGTCTTGAATACCATTCCTTATACAAAAAATGTGTTATCTGTCTTTTGTATGATTGACTGATATTCAGAGTTTGACCTTAACTAGTTTTGTGATCCGTAATATGGTTGTTTTCCATATGATAATATTTGCACCTTTAGAATAGATTCGGTAATTCCCTTGATGTGAAACATCCCATCTTATTATGATGTCCACAAATTAGTTGTTATGCAACAAGGCAATTCTTATTTAGCTTTCCAATCACAATTATTTGCACCTTTGTCTTTGTTGCAGTTCATTTTGTTTGTGATTTGTTATGTGTTCCTAATAATCGTATTGAAAACTGGCATCTGTGTCAGTGTTTTTGTTTAAATGGATGCTAATTGGTAAAGATCCAGGTTTTTTGATGTCTTTTATTGTATATTCAAAACTTGGCCTATAAGGATGTGTTGTTATCACTTTAATTTTATTTCTTTTACATAATTAATAGAACCTGGTGAAATTGTAAGAATAAATTTGCAGATGATTTCATTGTCATTAGAAGAGGAAGGAGCCCAATAATAATCTGAAAGTTTTCATAAACATGGGTTCCAGGAGTTTCATTTTGACCTGGAAATTCCTTATTGCGACAATAATTTAGTTGAACTCTCTCTCTCTCACACTCACACACACATGAAGATGTTTGACACCTTTCATGTGGAGGCAATTAAGCACATTTTCAAACTAATTGAGAGATGATGATAGCTGCAATCTAAATATGATCAAGCTTTTCCTATGCGATATCCAATCTGTCTAACCATGTTGTGATGACCAGTTTATTGATTTATCAACCATTTTCTCCCTTATGGGAGCTTAACATGGTTATTAACTTTAGTGTCAGTTTCAACAAAGTAATTGTGATCCCTTATGAAAGATAGTTGTGATCCCTCAGAATTTTTATGACCTTTTTGACTCAAAATTGCCAAAAAAGTAACCTCAAAGTAAAGTTTCGCCTTTTTGGAGAGATATTATAGTGCTTTAGAAAGATTGCAGGGTTGAGATAAAAGTCATAAATCATACGAGCGAAGCGAGACAATAACGCAAGGAAAGCAGAAAAGAGAAAGCAAGATCAGAACCAGGCGAGCATGAAGGAATGGTTGTCTATGATAAAAAAATTTCTGGCTCCAGCTGTCTTGAAACACTATCTAGATCTATGAGAGATCTGAAATAGAGGCCTTTTGCCATCATTGCTCCTTTATACTAGAGGTATTAGTGTCAGGGTGCACCTTGGAAAGCTTGGTGTTGGCTATGTTGTATTAGAAGACATGCCTACCCATCTATGGTTTCCGTAATTGACAGTATGAGTACTTGGTGTTATTTTTCTATTTCCTTTATCTGTACATTTCCATTTTGCCATAAATCATGCATTTCTTTGATTTCTCTAGGGATGAACAAGTCGCCACAGCATCAATGGGTGCGATTAAGAAGTTGGCTGACTCTCCAAAAGGCATGGTAAGGATTTGGCTAATACTTGACTGGTTTACTAGGTCAACATTTCTTTGAAGTTGCGGTGAAGCAATGGCCATGATCTGCTGAAATCATAATTTGTTGAGAATATTTTATGTAGGACATTGTGTTCCCAGCTAATACCAGTGAACCCACACACCTCAGAAATTTAGCAGCACGATGTTCATCACTGGTATGGTCGTTTTTTGATATTTTTGTGCTTTATTAATTAGATTAAAAACATTTAGGCAGCGGGAATTGTTTTTTAATAATCTATCTACTTAAAGTTGCACTTCTTTATTCTCTGGCTTGTACTGCTATCTAACATTGTTAGCTACGTCAAGCTGTGCAATAATATTCTAACTCCAGTGGACATTTTAGCCATGTAGAATTGTAAGTGGTGCAGACAAATGCCAGAATGCTGGTAATAAACCATATTTCTGGCGGTTGCATTAGCACTGTGACTGCGTTGACACTCAAATATTTGCTGATTGGATGAGGTTACTCGGATTAAAAGACTTCCACCGAATCTTCAATAATGTTGGAAAACTGCTTGAAATCAGACATGATCAAATGCTGTGCTATAATTATTATCTAAAGGACAATGAGCAATGCTGGTTACGACAATATTCTTTATATATAACTGGGATTATTTGGGAATGGTTCATACTCTTGGTACCTGCTAACTCTGAAAATATGTTTCAGGGACGAGTCCGGGTTCTAGCTTTAATAGTGAAACTATTTGCTATTTCTGGCTCCGTGGCTTCAGTTATCTACCACTCAAATCTGCTAAGTCTGTTGGAGGCCGAAGTCAGCAATACAAATGACACACTCATGATTTTGAGTGTTTTGGAGCTTCTGTATGAGGTCCGGCATTTATGCCTCATAAGTTGTGCCCACACACACACACACACTCTCTCTCTCTCTCAAAATGATATACACAACACGTCGTTACAATTTTTATATGTGCTCTGTTGTATGGGACCATTGATTTCAACTAGCATTTGTTTGTATTCTGTAATATGTTGACAATTTTTTTGTTTCATTTATCTTGTGCAAGTATTGGAGTATCTCCTTATTTTCTATTGCATGATCTCTTTATTTTGATGCAATACTAGAAAATACATGTGAATGGTGGGAATAGTATTATAGCGAGGCATTTGGCTTAACATAAGTTATTGTGCAAACTTCCACAGTGGGAGTTGTATGACTTGTCCTTTGGTGTTCGTGTACTTTCACGCTGAGATGGTGTTGCTGATAGCCTGATACCTTGTGTGTGTTTGCTTGCTTACACGTGGGTGTTATTGAGTTTTATGAGCATCCGGCACAAGCTGCACAACAGCCTCCAATTGCTCGGATAGTATGTCTTGTTTCAAATCAGCTTTCTCTTTACAGGGTTTTTGTCTGAGTCCTCACAGTGTATTGAGTGTAATCATTTTATTCCACTAAGTCGCATATAAAACTACTATGCGATATTATTACTGTGGGCTAAGAACATAATTACATAGTTTAAGCTGGTTCCATATTCAATTTTCCGTTTTTTTAGATGGGTTCACTGTATTTATAATGCTTCATGTTCAGAACACTTTATTTTGAATTGTTTTCGTTAGTCTAGTCCCCTTCCACAATAACATGGGTTCTTGGTTTGACAAAGTCAATTACTAATTGGTTATTGCACAGTTGCTTGGGCAACATGTTTTTAATGTCATTGAGATATTAGGGTGATTAATAGTTAAACAAAGAACAATCTTGAGCAATGAATCTTGAAATTCAAGAAAACCTGGTTGATGTGTTGTCTATCTTTTAATAATGAATATATGTTGTCAGCAAATAATTGAAATTTTAATCAATTAATGGGAAAATCAATTATCTTAAAATCATAGGGTTAATTATAGAATCAGTTTGAATGCTCTAAAACCTCACTTAACCTAAATAATAATCTAACAGCTTGAAGGGAGTTTTCTTGGTGATGTTTGAAAATGAATCCGTTTGGCTTCTTCATGCTGCTTTCCTCAACTCACGTTATGCACTTCCTGATTGCAAGTACTTCCAACTCATATGAAGATGTGGAATTCAAGAACATTGTTTCTTTGTGTTTCATGGTTTATAATGTCACACTTTGTGATTTTGTTTGGCTATTGTTTTCCTTTATTCCCTATCTTGACTTTGTTTCTTTCTTTCTTTCTTTTTTTTTTGTGGGAAAGTTACCTCAGTTATGCCTCACTGCTTCTTTTTGTATGTTTATTGAAGTTGGCAGAAATTCAGCATAGTGCAGAGTTCTTGTCAAAGACTACCCTTCTTCAGCTACTTAGTTCCATAATCAGGTATTTACAAGAATTTCTGCAGTCTGTTTATTGTTCACTCTTATTATGCCTTGAAGACAGTTGTTTATCTAGTCTCGTTTACTTTTAGCAATCCATCAGCTGATTCAATATTAAGATCAAGATCAATGATGATAAGTGGAAGGCTTATGTCCAAGGAGAATGCTTATATGTACATTGATGAATCTTGTAAGACTCAAGCTTCTTTCTTTCTCTCTCTCTTTTTTTTTNATACTAGAAAATACATGTGAATGGTGGGAATAGTATTATAGCGAGGCATTTGGCTTAACATAAGTTATTGTGCAAACTTCCACAGTGGGAGTTGTATGACTTGTCCTTTGGTGTTCGTGTACTTTCACGCTGAGATGGTGTTGCTGATAGCCTGATACCTTGTGTGTGTTTGCTTGCTTACACGTGGGTGTTATTGAGTTTTATGAGCATCCGGCACAAGCTGCACAACAGCCTCCAATTGCTCGGATAGTATGTCTTGTTTCAAATCAGCTTTCTCTTTACAGGGTTTTTGTCTGAGTCCTCACAGTGTATTGAGTGTAATCATTTTATTCCACTAAGTCGCATATAAAACTACTATGCGATATTATTACTGTGGGCTAAGAACATAATTACATAGTTTAAGCTGGTTCCATATTCAATTTTCCGTTTTTTTAGATGGGTTCACTGTATTTATAATGCTTCATGTTCAGAACACTTTATTTTGAATTGTTTTCGTTAGTCTAGTCCCCTTCCACAATAACATGGGTTCTTGGTTTGACAAAGTCAATTACTAATTGGTTATTGCACAGTTGCTTGGGCAACATGTTTTTAATGTCATTGAGATATTAGGGTGATTAATAGTTAAACAAAGAACAATCTTGAGCAATGAATCTTGAAATTCAAGAAAACCTGGTTGATGTGTTGTCTATCTTTTAATAATGAATATATGTTGTCAGCAAATAATTGAAATTTTAATCAATTAATGGGAAAATCAATTATCTTAAAATCATAGGGTTAATTATAGAATCAGTTTGAATGCTCTAAAACCTCACTTAACCTAAATAATAATCTAACAGCTTGAAGGGAGTTTTCTTGGTGATGTTTGAAAATGAATCCGTTTGGCTTCTTCATGCTGCTTTCCTCAACTCACGTTATGCACTTCCTGATTGCAAGTACTTCCAACTCATATGAAGATGTGGAATTCAAGAACATTGTTTCTTTGTGTTTCATGGTTTATAATGTCACACTTTGTGATTTTGTTTGGCTATTGTTTTCCTTTATTCCCTATCTTGACTTTGTTTCTTTCTTTCTTTCTTTTTTTTTTGTGGGAAAGTTACCTCAGTTATGCCTCACTGCTTCTTTTTGTATGTTTATTGAAGTTGGCAGAAATTCAGCATAGTGCAGAGTTCTTGTCAAAGACTACCCTTCTTCAGCTACTTAGTTCCATAATCAGGTATTTACAAGAATTTCTGCAGTCTGTTTATTGTTCACTCTTATTATGCCTTGAAGACAGTTGTTTATCTAGTCTCGTTTACTTTTAGCAATCCATCAGCTGATTCAATATTAAGATCAAGATCAATGATGATAAGTGGAAGGCTTATGTCCAAGGAGAATGCTTATATGTACATTGATGAATCTTGTAAGACTCAAGCTTCTTTCTTTCTCTCTCTCTTTTTTTTTTGCTTTCTGTAATATCTGAGGACTTATGCTCAAGCTGTCAAGTCTATAGTTCTTGATGTTTATAGGGTTACATAGTGGTGTAGAATATAGCAGCTGCTTTTGCTTTTCTTTCGTATACTGTAGCCTTGTGCTTAATAATTGCTTCTCACTTGTCATTTTATGTAAGGCCAGAGTGCTTCAGCATTTTTGCAGCATTGTACATTGGGGCTCATAAACCACCGACACTATATATTGCTTGTTCATATGGACCTCCAAACTATTGTAAAGGGTCTACTACTCTGTGGATGGTATTAAGATATTTATTACTCATAGGAAAGATTGATCTGACCTAGAGTGTTAGTTATCTTTTTTGGATAGAAAGCTAGTATCTGTAATGAAAATAATTGATGAAGAAATAACTTTTATTTTTCACGCATGTATGGTGTAAATGTTACTGCAATTATTTATTATTTTTATTGTCTGAAAATATGTGAGTAATTCCATTATTCTTGATGCCAATTAATATTTAATTAACACTGAGAATGAGGCTGGTTTTGGGTAATTGTGTTATTGTGATCATCCATCGGTATGAAGGGCAAAATACTTATTACCTAAAGGTATATGATAACTCTTCATCCAGTGAGTAAAATGGATGGATTCTTGGGATACTGGCTAGGGCATTGGGTTAGCATCAAGGTTTAAGTTCTGTTGTATGATTAAGGTTCTCTCAACAAGCATGGCTTGTCGATTGGATGGCTTGAAAAGTTATTGCATCTAACTTTTAAGATCACGAGAAATTTATAAGTGAAATGCATTATTCTATGCTGCACTACTTTTTTAATTAAAAGGTTGAGAGTAGTTGTGTATGTATGCTAACCTTCCTTCTGGAATTTAGGTGTTAATACTGTTGTTTCAGCCATTGATCAAAGATTCGGGCTGCTGGAAAGTCAAGATGCAGATGAATGTGAATGTGCACTTGATGCATTGGGTCAAATAGGGTCATGTAAGTGTGCCACTAAATGCTTTCTGCTTATTAACACAATGCCACAAGTTGAAATAATGTTTTTCCCATCATTCCTCTTAATATTAAAGTCCAGCGGACAGGATTACGGGGACTTGATAGTGAACTTTTGAGACAGACTCCCTTTGTCCCCCAAGTTTTGTTATGCATGAAGAGTACAAGGTCTATGCTAGTATAATCCGAGTTTTTTGAGAAAGCTCTTATTTCTCAAAAAACACTGTTTTGTTTGTGTTTCTGTTTAATCCATTAAGTACTCACACCAATGGCTGAAATTATAATAACTAGGTTTGATAGCATTGAAGGCCTAAAGCTTTGTAGAGACATAATGTTGGCTTATGTACTTTTTGAGAAGCTTATGGCAATATTATTATTTTTTTGCACCGGCTGTGTAAAGTTTCTTAGCAATTGATCATTCTGGCTCCTCAATTTCCTGTTTCCCATGTTAATGTGGACATTCTTGGAGGACTTCATGTCCTCCTAACTCTTTAGTCTTTTCATATTATGAGACATGTTTTTTCATTGGGAAATAATTGAGTGCTTGGAGGTCCACAAAATATCTTTGACTAATTCTATCTTGTTTTATGCTTTCACACTCCTTCCATCTATGTCTCAATGCCTTTTAACATATTAACAACTGTTTTGTGTTCTAATTTGCTTGCTTGGTTCCAAAACCCATTATTCCGTATCTTTGAAACTGCATTTTGAATTCCTATATATGATGCCTTTAGCTAATCGAGGAGCTGCGTTGCTACTCTCAAGCTCACCTCCTGTCGCTAGACATGTTGTTAATGCTGCCTTTGATCAGCAAGGGCATGGTAAACAGCTGGTGAGTACATATTAATTTTTTAATTCTGTTATCGTCTTCTTTTTTTATTTCTCAAACATCAATAATAATTGAAATTGAGACATTCACACTATGCTGAGCTGGCTTTGGCTCTTAGTTTCTTTGTTTGTTTATTTCCTTGATATGATTGAATTTGGAAGTTTAGATATAACTTTGAAAATATTCATCACGTGGCATTCTTGATTTTTTCTCTGCCATCACTATGTAAATTAAGTGTCATGGTCTATGAAAATTAACAGCATGTTATATCTTTTGCATTGCGACTAACATTGCTGACAATTTGTGTTAACAATGTTTCTGTAAATGAAGAATGCTTAGCATGATGTGAATAAGTGCTGTAGACCCCTTATTATTTTCTAATCTGAGATCATTGTTCGACGGATAATGCAGGCTGCATTGCATGCACTTGGAAACATTGCAGGAGAAACTCGTTCCGAAAACAACGTAATTTTGAATGGTGATTTAGAAGAAAGCCTTCGTCACTTGCTTTATGAAGCAGCTTCCAAGACTCCAAAGCTGACGCCATCGGTTAGTTGATTATTCGTTATGGACTTTTTTTTTTGTTACTTTTTCATTGCAACAGTTTTTCAAGTTTGATTTCTAACTCGTTTGTTTGAGGCACTTAGATTTGATATTAGTTTTCCAAATGAAAAATAGCAAAAATCCATGACATTAGTTTACCAACGTAGTAACACCTCCACCTCCACATACAACCACACAAACAAACCACCGACACACAACCCGATGTGAACTCCACCTTCACCTCTAGTGGCAACTGCAAACCAAAACTACCCACCCAACACCCAACACCAACACTAAAAACCCCATTCTTTCTTTACTTCTCTCTCCCTCTATATGCAAATATATGTCATTTTTTTTGCTTGAACTATGATTGGCTATCTTCGTGGTGGCAATAAGGTCTGGGTAGTTCTGGTGGAAGAGCGGCGACGGGATGTCTTTGGGTTAGGTTGTGGCTGCCGGTGGTGAAATGAGAGGGCTTGTTTGTAAGGGGTTCTTCGGAATGGAGTGTTGGTGAGGGTTGCCGTGGGGGTTTCACCGTGAGAAAGAGCTAGAGAGAAACAGAAAATACGAGAGAGGAAGAAGAGAGTAGGAGGGTTTGGGGTGTTGGGTTGCTGTGAGTCAGGTATGGAGGAGTGGGGATTTTTTTTTACATGGGAAAATCGAATTTGACCAAGGGTAATTTTGTATTTCCAACAAATTAGATCACGTGAGACTAGTTGCCGTCGCTTGTGACTATCTGAATCTAAATTTGGGAGTTAATTGAACAATGTTCAAAATTGAAGGGGGCAATTTATTAAAATTGAAAGCACTCAAAGTTGGAGGGAACATTTTGTAATTAACTCTAAATTTTATGCAAATATTCACTAGGTGTCTTTTCTTTTTTACTTCCCTAAATCTTTTAAATGGTTTTAAAACTTATCAAGTTGTTGTTGCATGTGGCAGGGCTGTTTTCTATCAGTTCTTCAGCAGGAGCCAGAAATGCGTTTGGCGGTGAGAATTTCTTTGGCACAGCTTAATATCTTCTTTTATCCCTGGGCCTGTTAATTACTATCTATATGTTGGGGAATTTTTTAGCTATAGCTGCATATACAAAGGGTTGAACTCCTAAACCCATAAGGAAACCTTTTCAGAGGCTAGAAGAACATTGTTGAATTGTTGTATCTTTGATCTATATCCAAAGAAATTGTACCTTCCCAAGTCCTCTCAATAAAGGCCCTTTCTGTATTTTGATGTCCATTGTAGCTTGTTATCTCTGATTTGTAGAGATGTGATTTTCATGCGAATCTCACAGGGTTATAGAGTGTTAATGGGGTTGGTAGCTCGACCATGGTGCCTGATGGAGATTTGCTCGAGACAAGAGATTATACATATAGTGACAGACACATATACTGAAACAACTAAGATAGGTCTGTTTTCCTACTCATCCTCATGGCAGTTCTCATCTTGCATGCTTTGTTTCTTTGCTTTTTTTCAGATTCTCATATGTCAGTAAAATGCCTTTTGTGTTTTCTACGTAGCTAGCAAAACAGATGACCCAAAACTGGTACAGACATCTCTGGAACTTCACTAATCATCATTTACCTTAACAATGTAAATATCATTTCAATGTGTCTTAAGGAAATTAAGCCCCTGTTGAGAAACAGGGTTTATCCCTGCCAGTCAGCACTTTAAACATTTTCCTCATATTTACTAAAATGGTCAAGTTGTAATAATGAATATGAAAATACGGTCGCTATTTTAGTCCCATGATGCTTTAAGTTTCAATTCTTTTTAATAACATTTTTTATATGTTTCTTACTGATTTGATAACTTTTTCAGGTATGGAAGCTAGACATCATTGTTGCCAGGCAATTCATAAAGCCTTCATGTCGTCAAGTAATCTATTCAGTGACCCTGCTTTTGCTGGGATAGCTGCAAAGGTATGATTGTTGTAGTTTGAAGTACCTGAATGTACCCTATGTTGGAATGTCTGATAGTTGCTTTGTGGCAACTTACCCATAACTGGACATAAAATCAAACTTTAGCTGGTGTTATAGTTGGACTGGTGTAGGAAAAGAATGTGCATGCAATTATGCATTGTTTCCACATGTTGGCAGGCTTGAGTAATTGCCCTGATGCACGAAAAGAAGTATGATACATAAGCAATTTTGCCTAAGCATTTTTTGTTCGTTAGCATGCATGTATCCATGATATCAATTATTCTGGATTGTTGTTGAAAAATATATGTTTGACTTGTGTGGATATTTTTCAGTATGTGGGTTCTCTTTGTTTGGCCCGTTTCTCGTATTCTAATTCTAATTTTGATGTATTCCTTCAGCTGCAGGAAGCAATTAGCAAGGGTCCTTACCTTACAAAAAAGCATCCTGAAGCTCAACCTTCAGTAATGACAGCTGAGAGATTTTGACATTCACTTGATAATTTTACAAATCAGATATATATATATATATATATATATATATATATATATATATATATAT